ATCAGAAAAGATAGAAAAATCCTCCGTTGTTCGTTGCCCGTTTCGGAGTTCCATCTACAAAGGGGTTGGCTCTCGAAGATATATTCTTGAAGGCAATGACTTCTTTGCCCTCAAAGATCTTATTGATCTCTCCTAAAGGAGTCTTTGCAGGTTAGTTTGTTAAATACAAATTTATACTCATGAAGGATGGTTTTATGTGGTTTTTCTTCTTTTATATTTTTGGTATTTCTCTCCTACCGTCCCTTTTGTTTTTAGTTGAAGAGTACAAGTTGGGGAAAACATTTGTAGCTCTTTCTTTTATTCTGATAGGGGAAATCCCCCCCCCCCCTTCCCTTTTCCCCCTCTCTCTAACTAACTAACTAAACCGTAAGTCCATAACAGGAAGTGATATCAATCCCCTACTTTAGTATGCATCCTTCTTGGTACCTTTTTATGGTTTTAGTCTCTGCTGCTTTCCGTGATGCATCCTGATTGTCAGAATTGGGGAAAAAAGAGGATCTAAGAAAAGAAGAGTGGGTTAATGTCATTCTCCATAATATAGACAGCCTTTTTCTTTATGTGATTACATTTTGAGCAAACTGGCTTATCTTTTTGGTGTTTTTGTTTTGGTACAATTTCCAAAGCAGCATTACCAGTGATGGTCGATACTATCTTGAGAAAGATTCTGGAGCATATAACCGACCAGTGCCTAATATGTTATGATGTGGGAATCCCCTGCACTGCTCGGCAAGACTGTGATGATCCCTCCTCTCTCATTTTCCCTTTCCAGGTAGGCATGTCTGAGTCTTAAGTTCCTCAGTTATTAAACCTTCTTTCTGAGGTTCAGATGTTATGTATCTTATGTACTACCTGCCTATGTACACTAGTTACCATGACTTCTTACCCAGTCTGCCATAAATGTTGCTAAAGTAGCGTTGACCTCAAGTTTAAACTTATACTCGTGAACATGATAAAATTGTTCCTTACTTGCATAAGGAAAGGTCAAACCTGCAAACGATATTAGAAAGTAATGCATGCCATTGTCAGAATGGGGCATAAAATACTGCTGATTGACATATTTATCTTTTGACCAGGAAGGAGAGATTGAAAGATGCAAATCTTGTGACTCAGTATTCCATAAGCATTGTTTTAAGAGGATATCATCTTGCCCATGTGGCACTCGGTTGAAGACGGAGCAGGAAGGCAGTTCAACTAAGGGCAGCCAGAACATGGGCAACTGGGGAATTCTCTCCTTGGACTTGCTCGGAAAGAGGGCAGACCTCAGTAAGGGGCTTGTTACGGGATTCTTAGGGAAGGTAAGGTCACTCAAGTCTAGCAGGAATGAAGAAGAGGAGCATGAAGACAATAATACCGTTATCTTAATGGATTCATTGCCAATGACCACCCTCTGAAGGGCTGTACATACAGAGTCTTCTCTTTTAGCTTTTGAAACTACTGTGATTAGAAGCTTGTGCTTTAGTGGAGGTCTATTTGGTCTTGTCCTCCCACCAACTTGTATTCTTTGTGAGTGCACAATGGTGATTCTTTCATTATCTCACAGTTATCATCCATTATATCCAGTCAGTCAGTTGTAAATGAAATATACATGATATTTGCTTGTAAGTTGAGAAGATCCATTTGTATTCGTTTGTATTTGACATGGTTCCTTGGATTTATTATTTGTTCCTATCTGGGTTTAGGTTATCCTACTACTCAATTTTAGTTAAGACTCCATTACTGAATCCATTTGATTCTGACAAGGGGATGGCAGTTCGCGTTCCTACAGTTAAGAAGTTTCTTTGGATATGAGACTGCACTTTCATTTAGTCCTTTGCAATTGGAGAAAGGATGGAAATTGTAGAACTGCATGTTACATTAAGTCCAATGGAACATAAGCAGATGCAGATGCAGATGCACGGATGCAACCATATGCAGAACCGCATACATACCAAACGTAGGACAATTCTTTTGAGAGTTTGATGCAGCCAATGATAATAAAGCAGCAGTAACTTAACTTGCAGTGCTTGAATGTCCATAAGGAAACTGCAATCATACTAAAATAGGAAATTAAAACAAGAGCAATTAAAATGTAGAGCCGACGTACGAGAGCTGATGCAACCAAGGGTAATAAAGCAGCAAAACTAACTTCCAACTGCTTGAACATCAATAAGGGAACAAGAATCATACTAAATAGTAACTTGAAAAGTACAGCTTTGATCTCCTGATCAAAATGTAATTAACACAGCATAGTATTAACTTGAATCTGAGAAAAAAAAAGCTCTTGAACTACACCAACAAAAAAAGATATCTAAAAACGTATAACAGAAAACTATCAAATTTTGCATCACAGGCAATTTAGAAAAGAGAGGTTCCCTTTCCTTTCTTGTCCCCGCCAATCTCAAAATGCTTGCACCTCTGCACAACCAAGGACAAGAGTTTAACTTGTAAAATCATGCGAACAAAGACATTGCTAAGGAAAAATTATAGAAGCAGAGATCATCATTTAACAAACCTTGATTGGGTGCTGAGAGACATGCTTGCACCCCTGGCATTGCAACCTTAAGACAATCTTCTTTGTAGTTTTTGCCTGGTTTGGAATGGCAGAAGAAACAGGAGACAGATAAGTGATACTACAAAGTAGCTTAGAATGTTTAACACCACTACTAGTGCATAGATCATATAGCTTCTTCTTGCTACCCTTATTTTATCAAATCACCAATAGTTTGTAATATGACTATTAAAAAGATATTAAAAGGGCTATGAAAGAGTGTGTTCATTACGAAACCCAAAAATGCTTCCCACCTTTTTGTGGAAGACGGGCTTTGTCTGTCCACCATAACCTGACTGCTTACGATCATAACGACGCTTTCCCTGGGCAGCTAGACTATCTTTTCCTTTCTTGTATTGTGTGACCTTATGCAAGGTGTGCTTTTTGCACTCCTTGGATTTGCAGTAGGTCTTCTTTGTCTTAGGTACGTTCACCTGCAAGAGCCGGACAAAACCAAGTTAAACAAGCTTGTTTGTCTTCGTGTATGAAACCGATGCTCATCATTTGCATAAGTGGTTATTGAATAAATAATTTAAAATCAATCATCTCATGAAAATTACAAACTCTAATTATGGTTAACACCATTATTTGGTTAAAAGCTGATTAGATTAAGTAAAATAATCCAAATCAAATCATCCCTAAAACTATATATAAAAACATAACTAGCTTCCAAGGGAAGAGAATGGGGCATGCAAGAAAAAGGTGATAAGTCAAATAGCAGGCATGTTTCACAAGATAACAGTTAACAAGCAAAAGGGCTGCACTCTCATCTCTTTCAGTGCTCTGCAAGTGGTAAGACTTATCAATAATATCACCCTCAACCTATAATCCGTGCCTCTATACAATTCAAAACTGTGCATATGCTCTTTCCCTAAGCTCTCTTGTAAATTTTGCTCTTAATTCAACATCTCAATACACTTTCAAAGGCTCCTTACGGATAATTGCAGCAAAACAGGCGCCCCACCCACAAGCTTACTTGTTCTGAAGCAGCTCAATAGTACTAAAGGTGTACAAGGGTTTCACTACCCTCCATCCATTACAACCCCAATTATGATTACGTGCATAATAAAAATGGATGAATCTAGGGGTGAGAGGATCAAATTTGAACTTGACAGGATTTCCCAAGAAGAGCAATTGCAACGACAAAATAATAAGGGGTGCTTAAAGTTAATTTGTGATTGTCCAAACTCTTCGACCAAGGTTAAGATGTCAAGGAAGGTCAAGAAATATGTCTGAACATATTTTTTATAATCAAGAAATCCCTGAGAGCTCATGGCATACGGTTCGAAATTCGACGGATAATGGACTCCCCCTCTACCCTTCCCTACTTAAATTCCAAGCTTTTGTTAGGATTCAAACCAGTGATGTGCGTCTAACTCACACATCACAAGGTGTGGTTTTACCACTAAACCAAAGCGCTATGAGGCAAGCATGCTTGAACATTTATGAATAATGGAACAAGTCAACCTACTTTAATTTTGTTGTTGAAAAGATCAATATAATTGCACAGTATTCTAGAGGGCTCAAAATCAGTTCTAAAGTTGCAACATTAACTCATTTCATTTCCTTAAATCCCGATGGAGGAAAAAAATACTAGCTGACTCCTTCCTATCTGCCTAAGCCTTGGTGGCAAGAGTTACTCGATACATGTGATAGTGGGAGGTAGCAGGTACCAGGTGAAATGGTTAGCGTGTGCAAGCTAGCCTGAACACAACAGTCATAAAAAAATTACAGTTTGTTCCTACCCCATATCCAACTAACTTCCACTGCTAATAGATTTAAGTAAGACCATACACATCAAACAGCATAAAATTTTTAGACTAATTATTAGAATTCGTTCATACAAAGAGAGATAAAAGGTGCACAGCTACTAATGAAAATAGCCCTCAAATCGAAGTTTCAGTCCAAATATATACAGACAATTTTAAGTAAATGCTACTGTAATTAAATATGTACTCATTTATCAAATTACAAAAAATAATCAATTCCTTTCCCAGTGAACGAAGCATACTGAATTCGAATAAGTGGGAGCATGAGAGTTACCATTGTCGCGGGCCGAGGATGAGATCTGTCGCCGTTCAGCAGTTACAGTGGCAAAGCCCTAGGCCAAGGATGAACTTGCGCTTTATACAGCCAGTGCAGGGTTGTGTCCACTTGGCGAGTGGAATTTGTAGGCCGGCCCAAGAATTGGGTTAATGTGATCATGACCGTTGGGCCTGTCAAATAGTGCTGGGTCGTTTGGTGGGAAAAAAAAAAATTCAGAAATAGCCTGATTTAGAACTTGGTAATTAAAAAATAATCACAGTTTCAAAAGTAATCAAAATTTTACAGTTTTTTCATGTAAAGATAAAATTTGAACAAAAATATTCAAAAAAAATTCTAGCATAATATGCTGGAGTTTGAATTTTTTACATATGAGATTCCAGCATAATGTGCTGGAGTTCCAACATAATATGTTGTAAGTTTATATGCATGATGTCACGTCCTTAGTTTTTAACTAAGTACACGTGTAGCACTTGACAACTCGCTCACGATCTTGCACAGCTTGCTCACGTTCTTGCTATGCCAAGTCGGCCTTACTACACTCAAGAACGCTAAGAGAATGGTAGAAAGAACACAAGAAATTGTTAAAGGAAGCTTTGTATTAGAGAGAACTTGAATTGTTTGCTTGATGAATTACAAATGAATGGCCCCCTTTATATACTAGTCTCCTAGGGGCTAGTGTGTAAATAATAATTATTACACAAGTCCTTAATATTTACAAGATAAGGGCTTTCTCTAGAATTCTCTACAAGCCTAGAAGATTCCAAGGACTTTCCTAGCAAATCCATAAGGATCTAGGTTCTTCCTAAGGAAATGTCCATACTTCTCTAGAATCTTCTGACAAATGCTAGCCTTCTTCTTATGTAAGCTTCCACACGGCATTAATATATGCCAAATGGTGCCTATGTGGCATGATGACATGGCGGGTCGTCACACTCTCCCCCACCTAATATTGTGACGACCGCGGTGCAATGCTGCTGCATAAACTCTCAGATCTTATCTTTGGATTGCCACAAGTCTTCATATCGTTCCCACATGGCCTCCTCCGGTAATTGCCCTTTCCAATGGACGAGGAATATAGCGGTGGCTTTTTGCCCTTGTTTTCGCCTGGCCTGGTAATCCATAATAGCCTCAATCTCCCGATCATGCGAGGCGGTGATAGTCATTGGCGCTCGACTTGATTGGCCCCTACTCGGATTATCCTTATCTTCATGATATGGCTTAAGCATGCTGGCATGGAAGACAGGGTAGATCTTAAGATACGATGGCATGTCAAGCTTGTATGAGATCTTGCCTACCTTGGCAACGATCTTAAATGGCCCCTCATACTTGCGAATCAAATTCTGATGCATGCCCCGTAGTGCCTTGAACTGTCTTGGGTTAAACTTCACCATGACCATGTCCCCAACTCTATAGTCCGTGGGATGTCGTTAGCGGTCCGCAAACTTCTTCATCTTCTTAGCTGCCTTATCCAAGTAGGACTTAGCAGTGTCAAGTTGCTCCTCCCATCCTTTAGCCATATGATAAGCCCCCAAACTCTTTCCCTCGAACGCGGCTAGTAATGAATGTGGAGTTTGTGGTTGTTGGCCTGTGGCTAGCTCAAATTGTGTTCGCCCCGTGGACTCACTCCGCTGCAAGTTATAAGAGAATTGGGCGATGTCTAGGAGCCTTGCTCAATCTTTCTGATGCGCACTTACATAATGCCTCGAGTAGCATTCTAGTATGGCATTAACCCGTTCTGTTTGTCCATCTGTCTGTGGGTGGAAACTAGTGGAAAAGTGCAGTTCCATGCCAAGTATGTCGAACAACTCTCTCCAAAAGTTTCCAGTAAAGCGGGGGTCTCGATCACTGATTATATGCCTTGGTAAGCCCCAATACTTCACCACGTTCTTAAAGAATAGCTTGGCGGCTTCCTTGGCTGTACAACCTGGTGAGGCGGGCATGAAGGTGGCATATTTGGAAAATCTATCCACGACCACCATAATAGTACCATAACTATCGAACTTTAGTAGGCAAGTGATAAAGTCCATAGTCACGCTCTCCCATGGACGCTCTGCAACTGGTAGTAGTTCCAAAAGTCCTCCGGGCTGTTGTTGTTCAACCTTGTCCTGTTGACAGACAAGACAAGTCTGCACATAGCA